AAATCAAATTAATAACTTTCATAACCCTTTGCCCATTGATACATACAAAAATAATGGTGAATTTCTTACTTTGGGTAATTTTTTATTTTTGAACTAACCTGCATCATTAGTCTTCATGAGAAGGCCATAGAGGACAATGAAAAGAGAATACATTTTAAACTAAAAGGCCTACGTTTGAATTTACCAAGATGTGTGCAACTCACTGGCTGAGTAACTTTGGGAAAGCTAAACTTCTTTAAGCCTCAGTTTCCTCCTTGTAATATGCAGCTAACAACACCTGCAGAGTTGCCGTGAGTAGTAAATAAAAGATAACTGAGGCTACTCTGAACTCAGGCTACACTCTGAAACAACGTTAATTCTCATTTCCTTTCCTTCACATCATTAGTGTTAGTGTGATTATTTGGGTCATGCGTGTGTAAGAACCCTGAACTTTGTTTTCAGCTTTCTGAGATGTCGGAGCTGCCCAAAAATAGAATCTGAGTGGAATCACCCGGAGGCTGGCACACTGGCATTTAAGATATTTAGTGCTAAGGTTATGAAGAGAGAGTGTTCCAACTGTTATTTTTCTACGCCTAACTTGCAAAAAATTTACTGACCTGTGTTGATGTGCTGAGAGATAACACCAAAGCATTCACATTTATTTTCAGAAGAACGAAGCTCTTAAATTATCTCTGCATAATGACTATCATATAAAGAAACAACAACAAAAATAGATCTGTCCAAGCATTCAGACTGCCTTCCAGTGCCCTACCTTTCAGCATTAATGCCTAATGCATATCCATTCATGTTCTCAGCTAAAATATTGCAGCTAGAGTGTATATGAAAGCATTATTTTTTTCCTTCTCTGTTTGTTCTTCTATTTGTTTGTTTGTTCAGTCATACAAAAAAATGTCAAGGTTGGATTAAGTCAGGAAAATTATAAATCTAAAATTATACATAGCATTCCTTTAAAATGCTTACTAAGAGAGAATATGTTTTATGTTCATTTTTACCCTTCCTTTTTTCCCCCCTACAAATACTTTAGAAATGTGAACATTTAAATATTTGCAGTGGCTAAGAGCATAGATTTAGAATTAGCCTTGGATTTAACCCTGGCTCAGTCACTTGGTGGTTGTGTGACCTTGGGCAAATTCTTAACCTCTTTCTATTATAACATTACCTACTTCAGAAAATAAAGCACAATGGCCATAAAGAGCTTAACGTAGTGCCTAGCACATAGCTAAGGAATGTTACCTTATTTCCACCTAGATGACATATCCATGTGTGTCAATATAATTAATCATTTATTAATGTTGTTAAAAGTGGGAGTCAATTGTACACCTTCAGAGATACATACTACTAATTGTTTTGGATTTCTTCAGTAGCATAATCATAATCACAGGTTGCTCTTTTAAAAAATTCTGGGAACATATTTTCTTCTTGGAAATAATACTTTCTACAAAGTGTGAAGTGATATGTGCTACATATCAAAAACACAAGTAAAGGAAACCTTGTTGGGTTTTCATAGAAACCACATAGGAAAGCTTTCATCTCATCAATATTATAATAATTGATTGTTTTCCATAGGTAGTTTAATAAATATATTTACCACAATCTAAATTTTGAATCAAATAAAGGTATTTACACGTGTCATTTGCATCCTGTGTATGGATATTTTGTGCATTTTTTATGCTTTATTTTTCTTAAATATCATCATTATTATCCGTCTCATCTAGTCTAAGGAAATATCAAGAAACTCTGTTTCCTTAGTCATGATCCACCCCCATCATCCCTTCAGGCTAGGAACACGGTGCAGGCTGAGTTATTAAAGTTGATCTGAAAGAGCAATCTGTTCTAAATGACTGTCCCTGGATCTGCCCGGAACCCTGTAAATACCCTTCATTACTCCGGCGGGGCAGGATCACATTTCTTCGTGCTACTTTTGTGGCTGACACAAGTGAGGCAGTGAGATTTGGACTGGGGATGATCCTTGTTGATTGGTATAGGAATGGTGCTGCTTCTGAGACAGGTAATCCAAAATTTACTTTTCAGTACAATGTTTGAAAATAAGTATTCTGTTTATAGTTTGTTTGCTTTTTAATCTTCATCTGAGGATATGTTTGTTTATCTTTTTTAGAGAGAGGGAGAGAGAGAAACACCGATGTGAAGTAGAAACATTGATTGGTTGCCTCCCGGAACCCATCAGGGACCAAACCCACAACCTAGGGATGGGCCCTGACTGGGAATCAAAACCAGGATCTTTTGGTGTATGGGATGATGCTTCAGCCAACTGAGTCACACCAGTCAGGGCTGTTCATAGTTTTTAAAAATGTTTTTATTGAAAACTAAATAGGTTTTGAACTCATGTTTTTAAAATGGTTTTAGTTTTAGACAAGTGTTTTCAATACCATTTAGGTGAAAATTAATTTTTTAAGGATTTAATTGTATTTCTCAATTACACTGTACCATGGGGTTTGCATAAGACCCTTTATAATCCACTATGCATATATCATTTCAGAGGGTAAAAAATCTGTCTCTGGTGTGAGTATTTTTATCATTAACAAAAGTTAAAATATATATATATACATGCTTCTGTTCTTTAAAATAAGACATAGAGGTGTTGGCTGTGTGTTTTTTCATCTGGTATTGGAGAGGGACACCTCTATATAAATCTACAGGTGTTTGTTTTAAATCCTCACCCAAGGATATGTATTTATTGATTTTAACATTCTTTAAATTTTTATTTTGGAGATAGAAGAGAAAGAGAGAGAGAGAAACATCAATGTGAGAGAGAAACACTGATCGGCCGCCTCCTGTACATGCCCCCACCAGGGATGGAACCTGCAAGCTAGGTATGTGCCCTGACTTGGAATCGAACCTGCAGGCTTTTGGTCTACTGGACAATGCCTCAACTAGCTGAGTGAGCCACCTGGCCAGGGCTAAATCTATAACCTTTAAACAAAACATACTGAAACTTTGGTATATGTGAGCAATTTCTTTTAAAGAATTAGAATCTACAGCCATATGGAAAAATAGCAAATGCAAAAATGTTCTATGAGTCCACTAGCACAGAAATTCTCACATGTTTAAGATCTTCCAGATCCCTTGACAGTCTGTGGGTCAACCCAATGTGAGTAAATTGTTTCTGTAGCTGAATGAATTAAGAAAACAGCTGAAGGCAAGCCCAGGATTATGTTCTTTAAAGTTTTAAAAGTTATTCTTTGTACCAATGAACTCTGGTAAAATCTGAACTAGTAGGTTTCTGGTATAGTGTTTATATGATTAGTACTGATGATATGCAGGATAGGGGCCGCATTACTTGGGAGCAGACCCTAACTTTTTAACTCTAGAATCTATAATATGGCTTTGATGTATTGTAAGCAAGGTGTCCACAGTTCCTGAGTATTATTTATTTAAAATATTTGTATCTACTTTTTTTTCAAAGAGCTCAAAAATTTTGTACACTACCTAGGTACGAAATGTTATTGTAAGTATGTGAGGAGAAAAATTATTGTTATTCAGAAATTCTTTGGCTTTTTCTCTTATAACTCTTTCATGCATTTTAAGCCTGTTTTAGTTGTTCCTATTGATTCCTAATTCCACTGCCCAACCATCTCTATTTTATCTTTTAGTCTGGGTCTCCTCCCACTTCAAAATTCTACACCTGGTTGAAAGGTAGAGTGCCAGGCTTGTCATGGCAGAGCTTGCAGGGAAGTAGAAATGCATTCACTTACAGTTTTGGTAAGGATTTTCCTTTGGAAAATCAAATTGTAACACATCTATTTGCTACCTGAAATAGAGGTTCCACTTTCCCATGTCCCTACCTAAGACCTGGTAGCACTTATATTGATTATGCCTCAAGATCTGAGTGGGATAGTGAGAGAATATCCTCTCTTTGAATATAAAAAATTTTTTAGAACATCTACACAAATTGAAAATACAGAAACACAATTAAGTAGTCTTGAGGTTAACATCAGCACAGGATTAGGTAAGAGAGCATATGAACCTGTACATTGAAGATCCGGATTACTGTGGTAATGAAAATAACCTATCCATATAATTCAGTTCTTCTTGTGCCCTTTTCCTTCCTCATTTTTTTAACCTGGATTATTTAAAAGTTTTCCTGATTTTTTTTTTTATTTTGCTTGTATAAATAAAAAGCTCCAAAGCAAAACGTATGTGAAACCTCTGATATGATCACAATAAACAAAGCAATTTTATATCTATTCAATATCCTATAAGGAGTCTCAAGATGACTAGAAGAGATAAAAAGCTCTCTTAGTCAATTCCATGAGGTCAGGAACTTTCATATATTTTGTGCACTGCTTTATACCCATGACCTGGTACATGGTAGACACTAGGTAAACATTTGTTGAATGAATGAATGAAAAGTATGCTACAAGCAGTTGTGTGATTTAAATAAGAAAGCTAGATTTAAACCAATGTATTTCATGCTACCCAAATCTAAGAATGGTTCTTTAAAAAAATAAATAACCAATGGCATTTTTCTGAATACTTGAAACCCAGGCTTCTACCAAGATTAATAATGATGATGTTACTGCACTCGTAATCTGTACTAAGTCATGGAGTTAACATTTTCTTTCCAAATTCATATTCTGAAAATGTATTCAATTAATAACAAAAACCTATACTTTGACAAAGTAGGTTTTTGAGCAGATGTTGGTTTGGTTAAGGATTCTTTTTTTATTGACTGGTAGTGCTTATAAAAGAAGACATCTGGCATAGAATAATATATGAACAAGTTATTCCAGATACTAGCACATGAATAGGAGTTGTAATATATTAAATAGTAATTTTGACTTTTAAATAGTATATTAGTTTTTTTTCTGAAGTATGTTTAAACTAATTTGTTACTGGGTTTATTCTAAGGATAATGGTTTTTTCCTCTCCACCTTTTCTGTGGTCTCTAATCAACAACTTTTAATGGTAGTTACCTTCTCTGTTTTTCCTAAACCTTTCGACAAACCATTCAAAAACTCTCAGGTTCATATTGGTACATTCATTTCCATAGCCAAATTTCCTAAACTATATCAGTGGTTAAATGAGAGTAAATTTCCTATGAATTAAAATAGGGCCTTGAAATTTTTTAATATTGGTATATTTAAAAAATAATGCCATTTTATTTGACAGATGGAATGTGGTGTGATAAATGTAGTACTAATTTCAAACATAAATCAATAAACATTGGTCTCTAGCTATAAGAGAAATTCTATAAGTAGAAAAATTGACTGACCCCCACCACCCATAGGTGCTGTCCTGCTATGGAATCCCTTTGCTCAGTTTTCTCCTGTCCAATCAGGTGGAATGTTTGACAGGCACATGGTTTATACAGCTCAAAATAACTTGGGACCTGTGAGCTGACAAATGCTCTGGCTCCGGTGGTGACAGGTTGTCCAGCTTCTTACAGCCATCTTCACTGAAACTAAGGTTAACTCCTCACTCTCTATGGACGGCTGCTTTCTATTTCCAAGGGCGTGAAGAATTTACTTTTTCTCCTGTGCATTCATCTGAAAGTTCTCCTTGGATAATTATCATCACAGTGGAGTGCCTGGGCTGGACATTCTCATCTGGGTCAACTAAAAAAAGAAAGGTAATATTCAGATTTAAGTTCTCAAGTGTGTTTTGATAACAGGACACTGACAATGGGAAAGGGGATATTTCAGAGACCTAATTACTGTTGTTTAGAGTAAAAACCTAGGATCACTTTCTAATTATGTGTGATGGGACACAAAAATAGGTAAAAAATAAAGCTCTCTACATGTAAAGATTTTGGAGGGGATGGATGAAATTCACAGGGATCAGAGGCTACTTGGGTACTAAGGAAAAGTATCTCAACAGAGGAAGTCACGACATGCTGCATATGTCATTGGAATTTTCCACATAGTCATTTATTAAAATAATGCTGTTTGTATAGAGAATGTGTGTGCAATGCTTATTTCCTTTTTATTGGAAATCAAATCTAAAATAATATGACTCCATAGTGAAAGACTTTCATTTTATATTTTTTTATCATGTAAGAGGATATGCTTGCTATATTTAGTGTTGGGAGATCTGCTCCCTGGATTAATGTACACAACAGCTGCAGAAAGTCTTGCTCAAAGGACATTGCTCTTTCTTTCTCCTCTCTTTCTCTGTCTCTCTCTACCTATCTCTCTCCAGCTGCATCAGAAAGACACTTGACAATTAGTGGCAAGTGTTTGGCCTGGTACATTGCACTATTAGCAATAATTAAATGTACATCTTGAATTATATTTTTAAAACTGTATGAGCAAAGAAAGAGAGAACATGGGTTAATCTGTATTTTCATTCCCAAAAAGTGAACATTATAGTAATGATGCCAAGAAATGTTATTGTATCAACATATTTTTACTCGTACTTGTTAGAGATGCTAGCATCGATCAGTTTGAAAGAAATAAAACAGCTATCCTGTTTTCTTTCTCTAAAAATTACTATGACTCAATTACTTTCCCAGCAGTAATGACTAAATGAATTCTACAAGCTCTAACTTAAAAAGTTGTCATACCTTTTTAGTCCTTCCTTAATAATAACTCTTAAGTTCACATAAAACTCATAATCCTTTTCTAGGAAATTGAGAATGTCTTTACTTATAGCTATAACAAATATGTTTTTAAACATAAATTAAAATATGCTCTCTGACACATGATTTAACAACAAGCAAAATTTTTAAATTCAGTGCCATCGCAGGAAATCTGAAATATATGGACACTATACTTACTTTGTCAAGAGACAAAATTATAAACATTACAGAACCTTATAATAATGGACTCTGAAACAAACAGCTGGACACTACCCAAATTCTGGAAGTTTGCCTCAATTCCCACTTATAGAATATGGCTAATGCTATTGGAACTCATAATAATGTGTTAAAGCCCTGGTGTTCCATTTATCAATTTAGAATATAGTCTCTATTACATATTTCTATTACAATGTGTTTACTAAGGTGCATATTCACTGGAATAGACTCAAAACTGCAATTCATAAGCAAAAGAAACTGAATGAGTTTTTATCCAGACAGGGTTTTGGAATTCATAGAGATGGTTTTTCAAATTTATGTTCGAAGAAATGGGCCGGTAGGTAAATGAGGTTCTATTGTGAAAGAACTTTAATGAACTAAGGTTAGTATATGAAAAAGTGACAGTTTTTAAATTTAAAATGTTCAATGGTTAATTCCTATATGTAAAAGGAGCAATAAACCCAGCTCACTAACCTGAAAGTGTTAGACAAATAACACTTAGCCTCAGAATAAGATTTCCTTCATTGACATTGAGATTTGACAAAGGCGTTGTTTGTCTCATGGTGTTATTGCCTGTAACAAGACACAAAAATGAAAAGGTTTTAACGAATTCTCTCTCTTTAGAGATAAAGAAGAATCAGGCACCGTGGAAGTATTTTCTTACATTTTTATGGTGCTTCATAGTTGACAAGGAGCTTTTAAAACTACTGGAGCGCTGCACTTTTGCCTAAGAAAACAATCCAAACAAAGACAGAATGGTCTGTTTCGAAACTTAAGACCATATTTTCAGCAGATACGTTTTTGGCGGACACAGAAGTTGATGTGACTATACCTGCAGTCACTAAATAGTCCTTAGAGCTCATGTGTAACCAGAGTCACCTTGACAAGCTACATATACCTCCACTTGGAGTCACAATACAGTCCACACTGTGAGAGGAGCCCACAGAGCCTTCTCACCAAGCTCTTGAACTAGAACTAGATCTTGAGATCTGGAGCCTGTTTGGGACACTTGCCCCTCTCCCGATCTAGCAAATGTATATGTCAGTTTGATTAGGGAAGTTATCTTTTTTTCAAATCCTTAATCTCTCTCTCTCTCTCTCTCTCTCTCTCTTTCTCTCTCTCTCTCTCACACACACACACACACACACACACACACACACACACACACATTCCTGAAGTCTTCTTGCTTGCCTTATATTAGCCTTTCTAAGGGTCATAGAATCTACTTTTACTTATTTCTTTGCTATCTTTTGGATTAAATGCTCACATAGGGCTCTGGCTTCAGTATCCTTTACACTAGTAGCTCTTTTCATGCTTATCTTCTTCTGTAAATTAAAATATACATAATATGTTTCATAGTAGCCCACCTCTCCTCTCACTCAAACTAAATCTTTACCTTTCCCACTTTTCTACATGTACCAATTTGATTAAAACAGTGTAAGAGAATGACTTCCTCACCTTTGGCCTATTATCTAAAAATTTTTTCACATTTTAAATCCCTGCCCTTGAAGGTATGTCCTTAATAAACAGATTCCCGTTAGTTCTCTGTGTGATCACCTCTGCTGTCTCTTTATTTCAACATTCTCTCATAATGGATACACTTCATTTCTCTATATTTGTTTTTATCTGCTGTTTTTTGTCTTTCAAACTGAAAGAGGAAGTAAAAGAATGGGACTTATTTCCATATTGTTACTGGCATATTTCCATATATCTCAAGTTCTTACTCTGATAATGCAATATGTACTAATTTACTAATGCCACTCACAGCAAAATTAGACTTGAAATAAAACTAAGATGGGATGCTCTCTGTCATAGTGAGGGATGGGTATTGCAATGGTGAAGGATTTACCTTCAAGAGCATTCCATCTTCAGCCAAGTTTTTAAAAGGTGATCTGTACCCAACTCTTCAGGACTAGTCTCTATGTAATGGGATTTGGTTCTTGGCCCAGCAAGAGTTTCTCCAGAACTGATTTAGATAATTCTCTTGTGTGACGCCATGGGGTACAGAAGGCAAGACAAACTGGTCAATAGAAGCATTAAAGAGAGGGAGCAAAGTCTAACTTTGTCGACTATTCTTCCCCTAAAGAACATTCTGCGTGTAATAATTACACTTCAACAGAAAAGGATTACCTTAAAGTTGTATAGTTCTCTGCATTTCTAAAGTGCTTTCCCAAACAAATCTATGAAGTAAGCAGAGTTCTGTTCATCCAGTTTAACGGTGAGATACTTAAACATGTTTCTCTTTCCCTACTCCATTGCTCTAGAAAAATAATTATGAAACATTAGGCTATTTTTGTGTTGACCTAACCAGATTTACTTTCTCATTTAAATACCTAAGGAAACTACATTAGCCAGAAAACCTTAGTATTTATGTTTGAATCTAAGTTACTTCATATTAGAGTTTGACAATTCTCTGGCAATGACCCAGTTTAAATATTCATATTATAAGCAAAAGATGAGTTTATACTACATTATATTTCCAACGAGATCTTCCTAGAGCCTGCGGAAGAGTAGTGCTGAGTTAACATGAATTGAGAAATACAGTCATATGCCGCTTACCCAGGATATGCTCTGAGAAAGGCGTCTTTAGGTGATTTCCTCATGCGAACATCATTGAGTGTACTTACACAAATCTGGATAACCTTCTACTTAATGTATGTGCTATACTTTTATAAGACTGGCAGCATAGTAGTTTTGTTTATACAAACATCACCAGAAACACAGAATTAATTGTAGTGTGAGCCCCAACAGTTGGTTTTTTTTTTTTTTTTTGTAATGCAAGTGCCTGACTTTAGCTTTGATTATCTAGGCATCCACTTCAACTAAGGCTATCTAGAATAAATGCATTGCCAGCCTCAAGATTAGATAAATAGCCAAGCTGCCTCATCCTACTAAGGCGCCTTTGTTTTAGAAATCTTGGTAGATTTTGATAACTGACCATTTGGGGTACTTGGTTTTTGCCCCTTCCCATGCCTTAAGTTATGGTTTTTATATTTTAAATTCACCAATGAAGAGTGAGCTCATGAAAACCTACGCTCCCACCCTTGACCCCAGTAAAAACAGAACCCCAGCCCTAGCCAGTTTGGCTCAGTGGTTAGAGTGTCAGGCAGCAGACTGAAGGGCCCCGGGTTCGATTCCAGCCAAGGGCACATACCTCAGGTGCAGGCTCAATCCCTGGCCCTGGTCTGGGTGCCGGCGGGAGGCAACCAATCGATGTGTCTCTCTCACATCGATGTTTCTCTCTCTCTCTCTCTCTCCCTCTCTCTCTCACTCTCTCTTCCNGTCTCTCTCACATCGATGTTTCTCTCTCTCTCTCTCTCCCTCTCTCTCTCACTCTCTCTTCCACTTTCCCTGAAAAACAATGGGGGAAAAAATATCCTTGAGGGAGGATTAAACCCCCTCCCCCCAAAAAAACCAACCCCAGGCCCCTGCTCCCTCTCTTTCCCTACCCATGACCTCGCTGTTGCCCCCTTGCATACTGTGTGTGCTCCAGGGCTTGTAAGTAATAATAAATTCTTTTTATCTTCAAAGTTTCCTAATGGTTATTGCTGAAGAGCATCTTGTATCATAGTAAGAGCCTCAAGGGTCAGTCCAATTGTCACATTGGTTTAGAAAGCAGAGGCATGTATCAGGAAGCTTACTGGCTCAGGTGAGTCCCCAGGCATTTCTAGCCCATATCAATAGCCTGAGACAGTGCAAAACGCTAATGCTTTGCACTAGGACTTTACGACATTACCACGGTAACACCATCACTAGGTGATAGGAATGTTTCAGCTCCACTCTACAGTAATCTACTTTCAAAAGATATCTCAAATCTGACCATTTCTCACTGTTTCCCACTGATAACCACTCGCTGATCCAAGCCACCACCATCCCTTGCATAGCATATTGCAATAGTCTCCTAACTGATCTGCTTGTTTCCACATTTGCCCCTTTTAACTTGATCCTTTGCATAGTAGCCATGATTGAACTTCTTCAAAATCATGTCATCTGCTTCTCAGAACTTTAAAATGGTTTCTCATTCACACATTTAATAAAGTTTAAAGTCCTTCCCATGGTCTGCAAAGCCTTCCACGATCTAGCCTTGTACTTTTGTGATTTCTACTTTTCTTTTTCACTCACCTCCTGGCACAATGGGCTTGACTCAAACACAGCAAACATTTACCTGCCCTGGCTTTGACATTCTTCCTCAGGAATATTCTTCCCTCCACATGGTCACATGGCCAACTTCTCCACTGCATCAGAAGCTTTGCCTGACCTTCCTAGCTAAAAGAGCTCACTGTCCTTCCTCCCCAATCATTCTCGATTCCCTTGCCCTACTTTACTTTTCTCCTTAACATTTATATCTTTCCCACTAGATTGTCAACTCCACAAGGGCAGGGACTTTGCCTTTTGACACAGTGCCCAGAATGGCACATAGTAGATGCTCAATAAATATTTATGGGACAAATAAGCGAAATCTAGAGTATACATAACAGCACTTGGGCTTTTAAAAAGTACAAATTTTATAACAGATTTAAACGCTTGAAAGAGAAGGTGATACATTTTCGCATTTCCTATTTTAGGTAATATTTAACATTTTAACAATTTATATATGCATTTACATCTGAGGACCCTCTGAAATGGATTGTTATTTTCCTGTTTGATAGATGAGAATAACTGAGATTCAGCTGCATTAAATGACTTGCTTAAGATTGCAAAGCTATTCAATGTTGGAGCTGAGATACTAAACCAGGTTTTTTATTGTAATCAGATGTCCTTTGATATTTCTGGTATGAAAACAAAGCATAGTTCCACTATTATTTTATCCACTATGAATAAACTTACATTTAAAAGTCACCTTGAAGTTATTTATATATTTATATATAAATGTACTTACATTTTTTTCTTTGTGTCTGCAAGATTACTTTGTAAATAGGATTTCTGTTTATCTATCTTATTTTTCCCGTAATTAAGAAAAAAGATAAACAGCAATTGATTTAGCAGGCTATTCTAATGAACAGAAGAATTCAACAGATATCTATTGATCACCTTCTGTGTGCTCTGTGTGTACAGATGATGGTATACAAAACAGAGTGAGGTAGACAGACACGTAACCAGGCAAAATTAATATATTACAATAAGTGCTGTGTTTGAGGGTAAAAACTATGAGCATTAAGAGCACATTGGAGAGGTACCCAACCCAAAGAAAAGAAGAAATCCCTGGGGGGTGTCTTAGCTAAGAACTGAAGACCATGTAGAACTTGGCCCAGCAAGGTAGTAAAGGGAGGTGGGGGCAGGGAGCAGCTCAAGCAAAGACAGTTTGTACAAAGGTTTGAAGGCAGCCCAGTTTGTTAATGAGACTACATGTATTACAATGGAATATAGATAATGCTGAATTACCTACAAATCAAAAGTTCAGTTTCTCTTTAAAGTTTGTCCTTGGATCAAGTTACTTCACTAGTTCTATTTCCATTTCTTATCATGGTATGTGTCTATAGTTGTTAAATAATGACAATAATATTAATAACAACTACCATTTATTAAACATGTACCAAATGCCAAACACATTTTAAAAAATATGTTTTCATTGATTTCAGAGAGAGGAAGGGAGAGAGAGAGAGAAACATCAGTGATGAGAGAGTCATTGATATGCTGCCTCCTGCACGCCCCCTACTGGAGATCAACCCCTAAACCCCAGCACGGGCCCTGACCGAGAATCATAGGTCAACGCCCAACCACTGAGGAACGCCTGCTGGGCCCAAACACATTTAATCATCACTTCAACCTAGGAGATAGCTACTGTTATTATACTTGTTTTATAGATGAGTAAACTGAAGCTTACAAAAGTTAAGTAACTTTCTTGAGTTTATACAGCTAAGTGTCAGAACTTGGATTTGAGCCAGATCTATCTAACTTCAAGTGTTAGGCAATAAATAATACATTAAAATATTAAAGAAATTCTTCATTTTGAAAACCTGAAAGCTTTGTTATCATAACAGTTTCTCAATACCATAAGCATCAGAACAGGCACATATTTACACATTAATTAGCTTCTTTTCTTTAAAAAAGAAAATAATTGCATAGAGCAGTGGTTACTTACATGAGTATTTTCTATTTCCACCATAAATATAAGCTTTTTAAAAGTTCTTCAATATTAACATCACCTTTACTCAAGTACTGATTTTTACTAATATCGTTTGAGTGCCCATTATAGTGGCTGGTCTTGTTTTAAGAGCTTTGCATTCATGACGTCATTAATCCTAATTCCCCTGGAAAATAGATATTATCCATGTTTTACAGATGAGAATTCCAAAGTTCAGAGAAGTTAAGTAGTTTTCTCAAAGTCACACAACTGCTGAGAGATGAAGCCAGAATTTGAAAACAGATCTAATTCCAAGCCAATGCTCATTCTATGTTGCTCAAGATAAAAGCCACCTTAAAATAGTTAGAGACAAAATTACATTAAAACACAATATGCAGTAATGTCCAACAAATAGAGAGCAGACCATTCTGGTTTATAAAGCACTTAATTTTCTCCTTCACATTTAAATATATACAGAAACTCAAACTAGGCTAATGAAATAGTTAATTAACAAATTAGAAGGATTTTCAATCAGTACATTAATTACATTTTCAAATAGCATTTTGTACCTGATTTCATATATCTTTAACTGTTCTTTTACACAGTTAATGCACAAATAAGACAAATTTTCAATTGGGATGTCTTGTGCTATTTTGTATATCATTCACAGTTGTAAAAAATTTAAGATAGTCATATAGTTTGGTTTAATGAATGTATCATAATTTAACTAATTTCTTATTGGACATGGTTCCAATTTTTTTATATTATCATCTATACTATGATGAATATCTTTGTAGATAAATCTTTGTATCCATCCAATACTTTTGCATTTTCAATTAATCTCTTTAAAGACACAATAGACTTCACCCAAACAAGTAGACCCAGTAGTGGCAGTCTCAGGTATGTGGCTGCAGCAAGTATGTGGAAGAACATTTTGCTGTAGGTGATCCTTTTAGCCGTCTCTAATTGCTCTCTTAAGGTTACTGCCTACTTTGTCAATTTAGAGGTTAGTTTTGGGTAACATTCTAAAAGTCAACTAAGGCAGTTCTTAGGAAGCCTTATTTGTGATATAACTGAGGCTGTCATATGAGGGGTGAACTGAAATAAGTTTTGTCATGGAATCTTAAACAGCCAGGAAAGATCTAGGAGATTACTTTCCTCTCCATCTTCCCAGCACAAGGCCCAGCACCTAGAAGCCAAGAATGGTAAATAGTTTTCATCTCTGTTACCATCTCTGATTGATTGGTGGTGGCAGATGGAGTTGAGTGTTAAGAAAGTCAAGGTCAATGGGAAGAGTACTGTAATCAGCTGCATCTTTTAAGGATGGAGAGGCATAACAGCCTATGGGCCACCAGTTTACCATCCCTCTAGTAAGTGTGTGAATGAATAAATAGATATAATATTAATAATATAAGATTGGTTTGCATTACCAAAATCTCAAGTCCAGGGGACTTAGAACTAAAAGTTATTGTACTATTTTCTTAAGCGTTAAAATTATTTATTTATTTGAATCAGTCATGTATTCGTATAATTAAAATTCAAAAGTGAGGAAAGGGTATACAGTGAAGAGTGTCCTGTCTTGCCCTCCATTTTTCTGTCTCCCATATCCCCTCTTTGCCAATGTTAATTTAAGAAATATTTTAAAACCTAAGGTTTAACTCGTATCTTTGTAGAAAATAAATTAGTTATACCTTATTTGAAAAGGCTAAATCATTATAGTTTTCAAGAGCAGATTCAACCTATAAACAACAGTGAATTTAAACAACTGTCTCTAGTTTAAAAATAACACACAAAAGCATTATTTATTTTCATGAGCTAGATCAAGTTTATAATTTCACTTACCAGTTGAGATTATGTTGTCAATATCTTTTAATTTCTATTATTTTATTACATTCAAGGTAAAAAGGACAGGATGGAGATCAAATCTCTGTTTGTGTATGAAAGTGCTTTACAAATAAAAGCCCTTTACAGATATCATCAAAATTATATTTAGAAATTGTATTTAATATCACTACAGCTATAGCAGAGCTTTCACAATTGAACTTGTATTTAAAGAATTTAGTAACATGGTTAATGCCTATGCTTTTATTTTCAAATTCAATAAAATCTCATTCAGTTCCTCTTCATTTTACAATTTGAGAATAATCTTTAAGTCTTCATAGTAAATTTTGTAAAACTATCAAAAGTAGGCATTTTTTTATTTCAAGCTTTACGTTCTTAAGAATCCATCATGCTGTAGTAAACAAAGGCTTGTTATTCTCTGGAAATGATCCCAACTTATTATCATTATTATTATTTTCTCACAGCATGCAAGACGACAGCATAGAAGCTTCTACTTCCATTTCTCAGCTTCTCAGAGAGAGCTATTTAGCAGAAACTAGACATCGGGGAAACAATGAGAGAAGTCGAGCAGAGCCTTCCTCCAACCCTTTCCACTTTGGCAGCCCTTCTGGAGCTGCTGAAGGAGGTGGAGGCCAAGATGACCTTCCAGATCTTTCAGCTTTTCTGAGCCAAGAAGAATTAGATGAAAGTGTCAATCTGGCAAGATTGGCCATCAATTATGACCCTTTGGAGAAAGCAGATGAAACTCAAGCTAGAAAACGTCTTTCTTCTGATCAGATGAAACACCCATCTAAATCCAGTTTTGACCCTGACTTCCACCAGGATAACTCTCGAAGTTCTAAAGAGAGCCCTCAGGAGGCACCAAGGCCGCAATATAGTTCTGAGGCCCAGTCCAAAAAAGTATTCTTAAATAAGGCTGCTGATTTCATCGAAGAGCTGTCCTCCCTTTTCAAAGCCCATAGCTCCAAAAGGATTAGACCTCGTGCCTGCAAAAACCACAAGAGCAAACTGGAATCTCAAAACAAAGTTCTACAGGAAAATAGCTCCAGTTTCTCAGCTCTGTCAGAAAGAAGAGAAAGATCTTCTGTTCCCATCCCCATCCCTGCAGATACTAGAGATAATGAAGTGAACCATGCCCTCGAACAGCAGGAAGCCAAGCGGCGTGAGGCCGAGCAGGCTGCCGGTGAGGCAGCAGGTGGGGACACCACCCCAGGGTCCTCTCCTTCATCCTTGTACTATGAAGAACCTCTGGGGCAACCTCCCCGATTCACTCAAAAGTTATGGAGCAGAGAAGTTCCAGAAGGAACCAGAGTACAGTTGGATTGCATAGTGGTAGGAATTCCACCACCTCAAGTAAGGTAAAAATGCCCCATCAGTAATGCTTAGTAATTGCTTTCCATCTACCATGATTCTCCTAAGTTTATCTTTTAAGTAAGTGGTTTCAAAAATTACATACTCTCTGAAAAAAAGTCAGAGTTTAAAGCAGCACTGTCCAATAGAAATATAATGTTAGCTGTATATGCAATTTAAAATTTTCTAGTAGCCACATTTTTAAAAAGTAAAAAGAACTGAGCAAAATTAACTTTTTAAATGTATATTATTTAACCAATATATGAAAACATTGTCATTTCAACATGCAATCAATGTAAACATTATTAATATGATATTTTACATTCTTTTTGTCACACTAGGGCTTCAAAATCCAGTGTGAATTCTACAATTAGAGCACATCTCAATTTGGTTACTAAATTTACCTAGGAAATAATTAATCTGCATTTAGATTTTATGAAGTTTATAAAGTAGATAACATATGCAAGTTGTTCCAAACATACTTAAAATTTTTGTAATAACTGAATTGAATATCAGTTTTTTAATTGAAATGAAATATAATTTAAAGTTCAGTCCCTGAGTTGTAGCAGTGACATTTCAAGTATCCAATACCACATGTGGCTAATGACTATGGTATCAGTCTGCACAGGTCTATAGGCTGAAGCTTTAAAAAAGAAAGTATTTATGATCCATGCTCAATGAATACCTGTGATATTTTTTCAATTTTAAAGAAAGCCAAATAATAGAATAAAAGCTGATAGAATAAAGATAAAATAAGGATGTTGCTAAAAGCAATTTAGAGATTCATTTTACAGGTATTATATTTATTATAAACTTTTTGATATCAGTTTAATGAATACTATTATTCCTAATTCCCAAGTCTTTCCCTAATATGACAGGTGAGTAGAGAGAAATCCATCTTTTATGTGCCTACCAGTCAGCTTTTCTGGGAAGCAAATGAAGACTAAGCTTCAGGGTTCCTAATTTGCATAAGCTATACCTAATTTGGGGTTCTAATTTTTTTAATGCGGACCTTCCAAGTTTATGAGCTTTAAGTCCCACAAAATGGGGGTCCAGCTGTAGCCGCAGGGTGGCATTTGCTGTCTGTAATACTATAATGTAATAATAGTATTGTGCTTGAAGTGTATTACTTTTGTAAAAAATTACTGGTATTTAGAGTCCTCTAAGAGTTACTTTGTCTGCCTAATACCTAATTGCCACTAGAACATGACTTCATTACTATTTAACAATTATTCTAGGTATGTAAGCAGGTCCTCATCTTTTTCTTACAGAATATTCATATGATAGGACAGCAATAGTATTAATATTAATATAATATTTTTATTTATATGTCTTTTGATTTAAGGGATTCTAGCCCAAAGACATATTCATATATTGAATTTTGCTTTTCAAAGGCAACATAAGGTAATATTAAATATTATTTCTACAATGGCATATAATTACTATCTGGTTATCTAAATGACCTCCTTGAGGGCAGGTGTCCTGTTGTTTCACCTTTATATCTTGAGCACCAAGCACAGCTTCNTATTGAATTTTGCTTTTCAAAGGCAACATAAGGTAATATTAAATATTATTTCTACAATGGCATATAATTACTATCTGGTTATCTAAATGACCTCCTTGAGGGCAGGTGTCCTGTTGTTTCACCTTTATATCTTGGCCCATAGTTTTTACTAAGAAACATTGAGTAAACTAATGCATAAAGAAAGAGGAAAACAAGGAACTCAACTTAGGTTTCAATCAGGAGTGAGACAGTTGGCTTAAGATGTGGCAAAAAGTTGAAACTGAACAGCGTCTACCCTTCTACTCTGAGCATGCCCGATGACCCTCCCTACTGGTGAGATGTCATCACAGAACCATGACGGATACCAATCAGTGGCATCTGGTGAATCTGGGTAAGCTGGTGAGCATTCAAGTTATGCTATACACACAACTTACTAAATTAGTCTTACCCAACCCATTAATTTCTGGACATAGATTGGACACACAAAAAATTAGGCCAGATCATTCAGGATTCATTCTCCCCATTTCTTGACCATGACAATCTCAAATCCAAAAAAAAAAAAGAGTTCAGTGCTCCTATGAGAAAACTCAGCCAAGAAGAACCACAAGATCCTGCTCCCCCCAAAACAGAATAATCTGGTGGTCACTCAGCAACTACTTACCCCTGGCCAGGTGGCTCAGTTGGTTGGAGCGTTGTCCCATACACCAAAAAATTTCTGGTTCTATTCCCAGTCAGGGCACATACCCAGGTTTTAGGTTTGATCCCTGGTTAGGGCAAGTACAGGAGGCAGCCAATCAATGTTTCTCACATCAATGTCTCTCTCTCTCAAAATCAATTAAAAAAAAATCCTTGGGAGAGGATTTTTTTAAAAACCACTTAGCTAGCCAATTATAAATTTACAAATTTAAAAGTGAAAAAAATGTACACAGCTTCCATAAAGCAATACTAACCTTACCTGGGAAGAATTTCTTTACTGATGGAATTCATGCCTGCATCCCAACCACTGGTTTGTTGCCAGGAAGTTAGTTGGTATTCACTATTATCCAAATGAGTTAGTACTTAATTTAATTACTGCAATTATTTTAAGAAAAAAATTAGAATTTTCTAAGTAGACTATTAGCTGTCATTGTTTTTCTAAGCATAGAATTTACATAACTCTAATCAGAAAGTAAATATTTATTTAGCTTTTACTATGTGCTTAGCACTGTGATCAATGCAATGACACAGACAACATAGATACGTGTTCCTGCCCTCAAGGAGCTTGCTATCCAATTAGAGAAATCATCCTAATTTTTGTAGTACCAACCATAAGAACTATCAGGCTTCAGAGAAGCGATGGAGGACTAGAAGGGTCAAAGAAGGCTTCAGGGACGTATTTGGGTTTTAGTTAAACCTTGAAGACTGAGGAGGATTTAAGTAGAAATTTACTCTTCATTCATTCATTCATTCATTCAGCAAATACCTATAGAGTTACTAAAGTGACTCGCCAGTAGTACAAAACAACTGTGTGTTATTGGAGGTCGGTTTTGAAACCAAGTCTAAAACTATTCTGAGAGGGTAGCTGAAAATCAAAAAGAACAATCAGGCAGCCGTAATCGAAACACTGCTGTACTGTGTAGTCAGTGCTATACTAGAAGTATGTATGAGGCGATGGCAACTCAGAGTAAGATGTGATTGCTTTGCCTGGAATGCAGGATAAAGAAGAGTTAACACAGAAGGTGCTACTTCAGTTTGGAGACCAAGGGTTCTCTTCCCTTGGAAGAGGAAAGCAAGTGCAAAGGCCCAGAGACAAGTGTTTTCAGGGAACTGCGAGCCCTTGGCCATGTGAAGCACGTGGGGTAACAGATGAGAAAAGATGAGGGAAAAGATTGAAGATGTAGACAGAGAGATGGGTTCTTTTAGGCCAGGTCCACTGAACATGTTCATCTGAAGGTACAGACACTGGAACTGTAGTAATTTTATGTGACAGGGAGGCGACCGATCTAACTAGAAAGAAGAGTGGAGTCAGATGAGTTTGAAGAGCCTTGAAAGCAAAGCAGAATAGTTTCGACTTGGCTTCCAAATCAAGTGGAAACCACCTACAGGGCAGTAACAGTATGAAAGGGAACATTTAGGTAGAATTCATCTGGAAGAATGAATTAGACCAGAAATGAGTGGAGCCATGAGACTACTTAGGAAGCTACCCCAGGCATAGAATGCTCTGCTAGGGCTGGCGTGGAGGCACTGGGAAAGCAGAGGAAAGACGTGAGCGAGCAACATGTAGGAGACAAGAAACCAAGCTGAACTGGCGACCGACTAGCTAGAAGGGAAGAGTAAAAAAACTTACTCCACAAGTTTGAAGCTGTGCACCTGAGAGAATGATGGGTCGCTGGCCAGGACTGAGGAAATGGAAGAGGTGGCTGATTTATGGAGGGGGCTGATGGCTTGAGTGTGAGCAGATGAAGGGCCCATATCCAATAGGCTGTCGGAAATGTAGGACTGAAGGTCAAATGAGAAGGCAGTGGAACTGGGGACAGTCCAAGGAATGACCTGGACACTAGGAAAAGTCTGACACAATATCTTTGTAATTACAAAGGGACTAAAAATACAGGTAATACTTGGAACTAGCGTCTAGTAGTACTAGACTAAAATAGTGTTTTCGAACCTTCTTTTAGCTGTAACTCGTCCCACTTTTCTCCTTACAATAAGCCTGTTACATGTTACCCAACACATGTTTTACACACACACGCACCTTTTTAAAAGATAAAATTAGTGCTTTGGGGATTGAAGAGGGTTGGATGGAAAAGCCTCCAGCCCCTACCTGCTTGCTTACCATGGAAACTAAGATATCTCCGTAGAACCCAGGGGCATAGATTTTGATCCATAGGCTTACTTTTAAAATGCATTAAAATAATAATGAGACATTTTGGATTGCCATGTAGGAATACCACAGTCAATAAGAAAAGCATCCTTTTGCTATTTTTTTCAAGGAAATATAATAAGTCTTCCTGGAAACTGGGGTCTAACCTTGTATCTATGTGCTCCTGTGTATAATCAGTATTTTAGTTATGTTCTTGTAACCCTAGTTTAGCACATTGAAAAATCATTTTTGCATATCTTTGTTGATTTTCAAGTGAATTGGGTGAAAATTGCTTTGTTTTGTAGGGGTGGTATCCTATATTATCAGTGTTTTTGAAAGTTTGTTAATATTGGACATAGCTTCCTTGGAGGATTTGTCTTAGAAAATGAAATACATTCATATGTTACCCACAGATGAAAGAGTCTACAGGAATTCACAGCAAATGGCCATGATCCCTTTTTGAGTCATGTATCATGACTCTAAATTCTTCCCCCAGGAATGTACAGCTGGGTCACACTAAGTATATTTGCTTGTACATAACCTTTGGAAGCAGCACAGATTTACCTTTTATAAATGTCAATGTCTGCTTTGGCTGTTAAATTTTGCTATTGGTACTTCTGGACCTATGTTTTTGAGTGATGTGCTGAGAAAATAAATTAGTTATA